AACTTTTTTGGCAAAAAATTTCTAAAATACCCCGGCCCACCCCCTCCCCCCAATGAAAAACGTACCTTCCCTATAGAACAATGCCAAGGACTGACCCCAACTTGGATATGATATTTTCGAATTTTCAAAGTGCTTCATTTTACCGTTTGGTTAATTTCATTCGTGAGGTTTATATAGAACAGAGAAGCCGGCCGCTGCAGCCACGATCAAAACCGACTTAGTTTTCAATGAATTCTTCGTAGCTCACTTTTAAAATTTGTCCTCTTTATACTGTTAATACAAATTTTTCTGAAAATTCAGAAGGAAACCATAAAAGGGCTGACGATAAAGCCAACTAGTTCAAGCATGTGTTCCCCTGCAGTTTACCGTGGACCGTTATGAGACTATGGAAATTATCTCTTGCACACAAAGCACCACAAAATTTGCATATCAGGCTGAGCAAGAGTTCGTGACTGTAATTGGTACATAGGGTGGACAAGATTGGGTCTTTTAGCCATATTCCTCTTTTCTTTTGTTTTTGACAATCGTTCCGAAGTTTTCAATCAAATCAGTTCAAAACAGGAAAGAGGTCTCGATGGTTTTCAATTGACAGAACTACCCTACGTAGTTTGCATAGCGCGACATTATAATATGATAAATTTGCGAACATGGACTGGCGACTCCCGAAAGAGCAAAAACCTGTACCATTTCTCCAAGAGCAGAAACACGCAAAGTATTGTCTTTCTTAAATTTAGAATTTTTATTTAGTTCACGTGGGAAATAAAACATGCACTAATGTTGTTAATTTAATTACATAAAATTGAAGTGTTCGATTCTTCGAAAGTTAGTAACAAGAAAGATAAATTCTTGGTAAAATAGTTTATTAGCGATCTAAAGAGAAATCTGCTACCCCAAAGCAACGAATTGTAGAGAAAGACCGCATACTTCCTCCCCCCACCCCACTCTCCCCCGCCACTCCATGAGCAAATTCAACTGTCACGAAAGTTCGTTCGGCCTTTATGCAAATTGTTTTAGAGATTCAAGCGTAACAAATTTGCATACCGTCTATATAGTCAACTCGATCAGTGTTTTAATAAATTTTGTCGCAAAGAACACTAAAACGTCGTATTAAGAACACAAGGAATACAAATTGCAAAGTTTAGAAGTTTTCAGGAGCAGCCGTTTTGATCGAGCGGCGACATAAAGTGACGTTGCAAATGTCAAACTTGCAGAGACCGCAGAATGGAGAAAACGGCAAAACAGACTGAAACTCTGGACTCATATGAACAGGTAAGAATAAAATATTTGAGTTAAGGCTATTATATTCACTTGCAATTGCTACGTGCATCGGAGTCGTGTTAATTTTATTATATCAATGTCTTGATGGTCATACGTACAAAACAGGATGTTGTGATTTTTTTGTCTTCACTATTTTCAAAAAATTGTAAAAAATACTAAATTCATTTCCCCAAACTAAACTTTACATATTCTGAAAGATCATCAACTCTAGTATTATCATTCGTAATCTTACGAAATTCTGAGAAATGGCACATGCTGAAAATTATCGTTGTTTTTCGCCTACCGTTTTACGCAACACGGGAGAGCCAGAAGCTTTTGACTTCTTTTGAATACTGGAATTAATCTAATCTTTATGAAATCACGGTGTTTAGGCAATGACAAGTTGTACAACAACTTGGAACTGTGATAGCTTTCTCTAGCGCAGTTTTTTTTCGATACGCGAGTCGAGTGATTCATGACCTATTTTAAACCTGTTCGGTGTCGCCAAATCGATCCCGGGACTGAAAACGAAACGTTTTGGTGTTTTCGGAAGCAAATAATTTTTTTAAGGAAAAATCTGCACAGCAATTGTCTACTTTCTAAAGGCTACTTGTATGCAAAAGAACGGCGAATTTTAGTTTTTCAACTTTGTCTTGCAATGTTTGATTTTTGCGCGGATTTGCTCTTAAAATGCTTGTTCCTATACAGGAATGTACCTTGCATATGACCTGCACAGTCATAAAGAATGAGATAACGAAAAAAGTCCGGCAGTGCATTCCACCGCTTAGCTGATCGCATGAAAAGTAAAAACAGGAGTTAAGAGCATAATGAAGTTGCCACGAAGATTATAGGACTAAGATCGGAGCGAAAACATATTCTTCATATAAGCAGGAAAATGACTGAAAAACAAACTCTCCTATAACAGTATGAGGAAATTCTGAACGCGGTTGTTGCACAACGACGTAGAGTTGACTTTTGAAAGAAGAGTAGTGTGTGGATACAACTAATCTCCAAGTAGAGATCTAAGTACACTTTTATTAAGTGCTTCAAGCTAATCCACATTGCGTGCTCCACATAAGTGCCAGACAGAAGAGAAATGATAAAAATGAAGTCAACTATACGCTTCAGATTTCCCTGCGTATGAGTTTTCGATAGCGCAATATGACATTAAATTGATTATTAATATTTTTTGCATACATTCGATATATGTTTAGAAAAATTCAGGTTATATATTTCCATTTCAAAAATGTCTAACATGTCCTTTACCGGAAAGGAAAAACCATACTCTGTATCACCGAGGACTAGACCGTGATACTTGGTCTCATTAACTAACATCCCATTTTCATGGTGCCACAAATGTGGCCACCCGACATCAAGAGATACGCATGCTTCTAGAGCTGCCGGATTGACGTGGGAGTAGTAGATCTGATGATCATTCGCATAAGCGTTCAACTTGACTTTCTTGACATGGAAGAAAATATCGTTAGTAAAAATGTTAAATAGTATAGGACCTAGCACCCTCCCCTGCGCAACCCCACGCTTGACGCTTTCCCAAGTCGAAAAGGTATCTCTAACTTTTACTCTCTGAGTTCCTTCAGGGAGATAGTTCCTAATTAGGGCACAGATTTTGTCGTCCATACCATAGGCCCTTAGTTTCGAAAGGAAGAGTGGATACTGAATGACATCAAGCGCATTGGGGAAATCCAGAGAAACTACCGCAACGAGCACCCCCCTGTCTTGCATCATCCTTCAGTCCTCCGTCAATCATAGGAAAGAAGTCTCGCAACTATGAAACTTTCTACAGGCGCTTATGAAATCTGATAAGAGTCCATCGTAGCATTCGTACATCTGCTCCAATAGAAGCCTTTCAAAAATATTGTTTAGAGCAGGGAGCACAGTTACTGGCCTATAGTTGATCTTACAAAACTCGTCGTCTTTTTTATACGAAGGAGTCACCATGCCCATGTTCCAGCTTTATTCCTTGCACCTTAAGCCCTCGAAAATTGTAGCAGGGGAGTCTACAACTGTGTGATGACCTGCGTAAAATTTTCATGTAAATAGCAACGTTGTCATTACCGATATTACAACATGTAATGTCATTTGGAGGGCATTGAATAGTCAGGTTCAAGCTTTCAA